CAAACTGTGCTGCTATGAACATGGGTGCACATATATCACTGTGGTATGATTCTTTTAATTCTTTGGGGAAGATCCCCAGCAGTGGAATAGCGGGTACCTAGCTTCCTTTCTAAGCCAGCTCTAAAACTGTTCTCCCAGAACCTGACGAGGTAACATTAGAAGCACTAATTTGTGATTTGGGAAATCCTAGAGCAGTCCCCAGCATAGCACAAGCTTGTCTTCTTTCCTAGCATAAGTCATGGTCTCAGACTGTTTTGAGATTGCTTTAGGCTTTGCACCAAAACTTCTGACTCATCTCTTAAGACAAATACTTGTGATGAATTAGGATTTGGCATAGAACATAGATTGCCAGAAAGAAACCTGATGGAGCTAATTAGTGTCTTGGTAGTATTATAGTGCCTTTGTTGAGATCGGGAATTTTTTTTAAAGTGCATATTAGCTATACAGACCAGTGGGTTTCATTTTGGCATATATATACATACATACAACACACTTTGACCATTCTCCCTCTCCTCTTCCCCATTATCATCTTTCCCCTTTCCTCCCCTTCCCCAGTTCCCTTCCTTTTCTTTAATAGTCTCTCTTAATGAGGAAGTTTTAAATCTAAGCCTGTATACAAAGGATCAGTTGATCCTGGGCCCTGTGAGGCTAACAGTATGTAGACTAGACAGAAAGTCAAGATTAAAGGAACTTTAAAGCCAAATTATTTGAATGACTGAATAGCTTGTGTTGGCTTTTCTGAGACTGGGGTGGGAACAACAGGCATATGTGGCTATATTAGGCAGAGTTTCTGAGCATGAGCATGATGAGACCCACTAAGCCACCCAAGCATGGAGGGTAAGAACAAAGCAGGAAGAAAAATTAGGAAGACTTTATTAAAAGATTATGTATTCTTAAAGCATGAAAAATAAAGGGAAGTATTGTTAGGCTTCCTTCCTCTTGTTGTATTGATTAGTAATATTTTTATTATAAATTACATATGGAAGGCATTGTGTGGTTGGGCCTCTCCTAAGGGTCTCAGTCCTAGTCCAACTGGGTCCAATAACTAATGATAGTTTGTCCTAAGTTTTGCTCCCACTAGTTTTCTGCCACAGCATCTCCTGTTTGGAAGAGGATGCTCAGGGAATCTGGGCTTCAGCTGCAAAACTGTCATTAGATCCTATCTTCTTGCTCTGCCTCCATCACACTAAGCTGGGAGTTCAGAAATGTCCCTCTGCTTCTGGGACGCACAGCTTTCTGTCACAGACACACTTTCTCCTTTTGCTCAATTTCTTTTAGGTCCAGGACCTATAATTACTTCTTTTCACAGCTGTTATATACATCTATATCAGGACTTCCTTCTTTTGCAGGGGTCTGTGGGACTATACTGTGTGCTTATTAACAAAATGGGCATCCTGTTAGGAAAGTGATTTTTATTAATCAACTCAATGTAAGTTTCATAAACCAACAGCTAAACATTTTAATTGTAGTAATAATTGTGCTTAGAAATTAATAGCTAAAGTTTTAGTTCCACTGAAGAGCTGGATGTAGAAAAGACTTTAGGAGATTCAAAAAACTAATGAGAAACTAATGAGATTTTACTAATGAGAAACTGAAATTGAGAGAAAACTGATTTATACACCTTTCTTCTTCCCTGGGGCTGTGACTTGCATCTTCCAGAATGGCATGCAACCTGCTCAGAAAAAGGAATAATCTCTCCTCCAATAGCTTTGAGACAGAAAGTGTGCAGAGAGGTGGTGGTTTATGGTATGATTTACACCTATTTAGGTACAAATTCTCATATTTAAGCACATGTGGAGATTTATTTATGAAGATGCTGTATTTTAAAATTTGAGATACACTGTTACTAGTTCTTGAAAAGGAAGCAAGCTTTGAGATGTAAAGAGGGAAAATGGAAAGATACGATGTACTGTCTCCATTTCAGCTCAAGATTTTTCTGTCTTGTAGATGGAAGTCAACTTCAGTGATGTTGAGGTCTACAACCTCACAGGGCTGCAGGCTTCTACTGAATATGTCATTGCTCTGCGTTGTAAAACCAACAAGTCAAGAATTTGGAGTGACTGGAGCCAAGAGAAAACGGGAATGACAGAGGAGGAAGGCAAGCTGCTCCCTGTAATTCCTTGTCTGCTTCCTGTGGATAGGGCTGCCCCCACCTAGATCTGATGGATTTTGTCATGTTCCAAGCTTGGGAATCATGTAATTCCACAATCCCAGAGCCTGGAGAATCTGCATGTTCCCTCTCACGGTGCCCACTGACCCCTGGGAAGGAACTATGTTCCTTTGACTAGTGTTTGTTACCTTAGTGGGTTTGCCCCAAAGTATTTTCAATACTCTTCTGAGGTTCTTACACTCCACACGAAATGGTAGCGTAGCATTTAAAGCAATCTTATGATAAGTTCAAATTATATGTCGTAAACCCTGAAACTACTAAAAATATAAACATATAACTAATGAAAGAAAAAAAGGCCACATCTTTAATGACAACAAGAGAAGGAAAGAGACAGAGATTACACATAATAAAGTCCCATACTGGTCTCAGGTAACATCTGGGGTCAACTTCTGTGCTCCTGGTCCAAAAATTTATTCCTCTGGCTCCTGCTTGATTTTCCCATGAGACCAAGTTGGTATTAAGTGATGTTTGGCACGTTCACCCTTATTATCAGATTCTAGAATCAATTTGATGCCTTCTGAATTTTGTATTCCCCACTAGAGATGTTTGTACTTCGTTTGAACTTCCCATAGGGGGATATAGTTTCAGAACAGGGATTCAGGCAGCAGATGAGGAATTGGGCTAGACAGCTGTGAAGACCCTCCTCAGCCTGAGATTCTTCTGTGCCATGTGTAGTCATGTGGGGAAGGTCACAGAAAATCCAAAATCATCATGTGCTGAAGTGCCTAGAATTGTGCCTGACATATGCAAGGGATATATAAATTTTGAAGAACTAAAAATGCATAGGAAAACAGTTAAGATATAGATCGAATGTAAACTTTGGATTAAAGTTATATACAGTTGAACCACATTGAGATTCTATAGACACTGTCTCTAAGTGCCCAATCAGTTACAAATTTAATAGTTTACAAATATCAAACAACACATTAATTGCACAGGAAAAATGTCCCAATAGTTATAATCTATTGGAATGGTCAGTTAGTACTGTCTATGTCTTAGCGGAGCCCTTTAAAAATATTAGAAGAAACCCATGTAATACCATTGAGCAAGCTGTCCCCTTCCTCTGCTACACATTAGCAGGAATTTGGCGATGAAGCACTACTTCAGGTGAGACGGTTATTTTGTCCAGCTCTTCTCCCTGTCACTGTCACTCTTCTTTGCTGGAGATTTTATGGCTCAGAGTTTGTAGCATGGCTAGCCCTTCACTGTCCAGGTACTCTCTGATGTCAGCTTCCTCAATTGGTTTTTCTGTCAGAAACAAGATTTACTATTTCATCTGATTCATTCAGCTAGGCTGGGGAAGATTAATTAGCAAAAACACTAGTATCTGATGTTCTCTGTGCCACTTGCTAATTCAATTGAATCAACACTTATCAAAGTCACCACAATAGAAATGTCTTTTGTTTTTCTTCATCCCCCCCCCCCCCGGAATCCCAGAGGAAGTTGATAAAAACACACACCCAGGTGTGATCCCCGCACTTGGGAGGCTGAGGCAGGAGGATTGCTGTGAGTTCAAGGCCAGCCTAGACTACATAGTCTCAGACCATACTACCTGGTCTCAAAAAACAAAACAAAACAAAACAATGCAAAACAAAAAAACTCACACCTTAACTCCCCTAGAAAAACCCAATTTCTAATTTTCCAATTTGTGAACTGTTTTTCCTTATTTCACAAAGAAATGTTAGTTGCTTAATATATACCACTTCAAATCTTTCTAACTATTTGAAAAATTCTAAGTTAAATATGAAGTACTACCTATTTTCTTTTGGATTTCAACATATGATGATGGCTACTTACCTATATTTAAGTTTTTAAATATCTCTCTATAT